CGAGTTTGCTTCTCCTCAACGACGCAGGAATTTGGGTGCACAAGAGGCACAGCACCTCCCCGGGTAAGCCAAGGGTTGAGGCAACCTGTAAAAAATCTATTTTGACCAGTTTTTGGCAAAAGAACAGTCAGGGTTATATAGTTGGGCTACATATTAATATAAGCATCTGTGATTACGTGCAAATGGCAGAGAAGTAGGTCTGAAAGCACAAAGTCAAGGCCAGCTCTTACGTATTTATTTACACTCTAATCTGTGGGGGATGGGGGCAGGAGAGGAAAAAAAAAATAAAGAGAGAAAGAGCACACAGCTGCCATCCCAAAAACAGACCTCCCATCTGCCACCCACGATTTGCATGTCACCTTCTCCAGGCTCATTTGTACTTCATTAACTGCCATTGACTTAACAAGATTTATGCAAATGACACCATAGGAGCTCGCTAACTCCCACTGCAATCAAGTGATTATGTATGTACAATTCTCCACAGCAATGAAAAATTAATACATGACAAGCCCACTCACCGCTGAGCTGAGCTTCTTGCTTTTATTTTTCTTGTTGTGCTTTTTTTTTTTGGTTTTGATTTGAATATGCCCTACTGATAAAGATTTAGCAGGACAGCAGAAAACGAAGTAATTTTCCCAAAATGCTACAAACCTAGAAAGTATGTCACCCTAAAATGTGCTTCAAAACATTCACTCAGGATACCAGGAACGAGTCTTTGTTTTCAGAATACATGGTTTTGAACAGAGGATGCTCCAAACAGAGTAAGCCGTTCACCCCAAGTTTGTTTTAAGGGGAATATTAGCAGTGCTGCGGAAGATATTGTAAATATTTTTTTATTGCAACCGCCTCTTTCTCAGAACTTTCTATGGATTTTAACTTTGGGCTAATAATGTTCCAGACTTCTTCTGTCCCAATTTGATTAGTAGAAGATATTTAAATAGCACACAAGTGAGACTTTTTTCCCTTTTTGGAAATTTATGGCATTCACAGTTCTCAAAGGATGCTAAGAGCACAGGATTTAAGGCACACTGATACCACTATGCCTGCAGAAGGCATTTGTACCTCCCTGGAAAATCGGCTTTCTCAAAATTTCACTCACCTTAGAGCATTTTGGCAGAAGTTAGCAGCCACGTTTTAAAAACACGCCTGCTTTCATTGCCTACATTTTGGGTTTCTGCTGGGAGCAAGAGGGTTCGTCAGAACAGTGTTATATGGCTTCGCCCAATAAAACCACATTTAGCACCGCAGTGAAAAGTGATTTTTAACATTTAGAAAGGACAGAAAGAATAAGGACATCATTAACTCCTTTTGACTGGATTGCTTTAGGCTAAGGAAAAAGTCCTGAAGGAGGGAGGTGTTAAATTCAGGGACAGAGAACAGGAATTCAGGAGCAGGTTGCAACTCTTGGCTTCTTTTGACCAAAACCCCAACCAAACTCCAGCAGCCGTGCAGTCGGGTACCTGGGTCCCAGCAAGGATGTGATAGAGAATCCTAAGCAACTCTTCATGCCAGCGTAGCTTGCTTCAAAAGGTGTGTATGTGCAATCACAAGAGAATCACAGAATCATTAAGGTTGGGAAAGACCTCAAGGATCATCAAGTCCAACCATCGACCCAACCCCACCTAATCCACTAAACCATGTCCCAAAGCACCACATCTACACGTTTCTCGGACACCTCCAGGGAAATGCATGTCCCTAGAGAAACCCTACTCCCTCCATCAATTTAGGCTGTCACCAACTATACAAAAGCACCATGTTGCTGACATACATCAACCACAGCTATGCTGGCTCAACTGCGCAATACGGACCTGAGCCATGAAAGCATTTGTAGGTGACATGGCGCTTGTGTCACTCATCGTGTTTTCCACATTTCCTAGAGAGCTGATTTTCTCAAATATTCATTCTATGTTCTCTCCCCACCACAAACAAGCATACATGAATGATACCAACTCTTTCTCTCCCCTTTCCTGTACTCTTCCAGTGTTGGAAGAGATGGCATTTCTTCCCCAAAACCAGAACATCTCCAACTAACTGCGTGGGGTCTTTTGCTTGTTAGTTTTTTGTTTTTTTTTTTTTTTGTTTTGGGTTTGTTAGTTTTTTTCTTTTAAGGTGGGGAAATAGTATTTCTGATTTTGGGGAGACCCTAGGTAGATAAGAACAACCCACAGACAGCACAGAACACACTGAATAACCAAGCCATTGGTTTCAACATCTGAATAGCAAGACTTTTTTTCTTCAATTAGCTTTTTCACTGTATGAGTTTCAATCGTAATTTTTTTTTTTTCTGTCCAACTGCTAATAGGATCAACGAACACAACTGAAGCATTCATCTGCAAGTATGAGCTTGGACTTCTGCCTTGCACCAGAAGCACATGCTGCTATTCACATAGCACAGAGAATAAAACAAAGGACTGACAACAGATATTAAAAAGGTCTGCTCACTGCACACTTTTGAAGATGTCCCAAAGACACACTAGAAAAGTCTACGCATGCAGCTGGCAAAGGCATTTTGACCCTTTGTCATTGGAGCATATGGAGGGGTTTCTTATTGCAGGAAGCACAGCAGCATGACATACTAAAGTTTTAGGTCAAAAGGGTTTTTTTCCACATCCCTATCCTCATTGACAGTTAATGCATAAAATAAAAGAGACATAATCTTTTCTAGCAGGAATTTCTACCACCTCAGAGAAATGTCGAAGTGCCTCGCACCTGCAGAGCCCACCCTGAACACAGTCACATCAGCAACTTGGCTTGGTGCCACCTCTCCTGATAGGAGCTCTCCATCTAAACAGCGGTCAGACAAAAAGCTATCCCCTGGTCAGACTTCAGGAGCCATTTCTGCGTGAAATAGTGTCGTTTGCAATCAAAGACCACTTCAAACTGATGTATGTTTTTAAACCGTAATGAAATACTGGCGGTATGAATTCACACTGTATTTCAATTTTTAATTAAATGTTTCCACATCAAAAAGGTACTTTTCCCCACACCATCTTTTTTGGTTTCAATTGGGTATGCAATACTGGTCTCCTACAAGTTACTGAAGACTGTCTACAACGTAGAAACCCGACAAACTCCAAAATCCATTCTTGACAAAAACAAGTACGATGTGAAATACCACCGACAGTAGCCATCCTCCAGCACTGCACACCACTCAACCTCTGCTCTACCACCCTTCTACAACCCCAATGAACAGAATCTATCTGCTGACTACAGACCTGCTCAAATATTTGCTGAGAATCGCTTGTACCATAATCGGGATTAATAACAAAAAGTACACATTCCCATAAGATTGGTCACACTCAGTCTACAAGTAGGGGCTGCAGGGAGAATTTTTCAATACAGAAATTCAAGAGATTGTAGAGGGTGTTTCATCACAACATGGTATAGTGCAATCACACTTAACATGCCTATCATCCAGTACTCTTCCTACAAGTGCATTTTTAATCAAATTAACTTCATACAACAGCATTTTAGGGAAGAACAGTATGTACGCCTGGAATAAATATTGAGAAGTACATTCCTCACTCTTACATCCTCAGCTGTATGCACAGACACTTTTGTTTAATTAGCATTACCCAAAAGAATTCCAGCCCGTCTAACCGATCTCGTACCATACAAAACCTGCAGGAAAAAAACTGTAGCTTGTTTTAAATGCCTGGAATCTCCTCCCCTGAACGCAGAGCCAAATCCTGAGCTCATCTGGTTTCAAACTGCTCTTCTGAATTGCAGCGTGTTTGATTAAAATTTGTCTACTGGATGTTCACAGGCACGACAGCAATTTTGCTGCCTGATGGTCCCAAAAGGTCTTTTTAACTGCCTTTGAGAAAGAAAATCACTGCAAACAGTTAAGGGTACAAAACTATCTCTCCCCCCTCCCCCTTACATCCAAAAAAGAAAAAACCCAAACCACCCCAAAACACAAACACCCCCCAAACAGCAGACTCGGGGCTACCTGGCAAGGTGAAGCATGGGCTGAGGAACGACGAGAAGAGGCCAGTGACCCTGTGGAGGGTAGGAAAGCCACCAAAAGAAACTGGAAACAACCGTGTGGGAAGAAAATAAGCTCCCTTCCCTTGGCACTTTTGCTCTCTCCAGCACATGAACTCCCATGAAAGTAAAAAACTTGGAAACACGATGGCAGAAACTATTCGGAAAGCATCCCGTGCAAATGCTGTTCTCAACTGCATGAATTCAGTGAAATTCAATTTGGGAAAGTAAATGATCTCATTCACCCCGACACTTCGCATCAGATGCCGGTATTGCTTTTGCCTTTCAAAGCAGTGTTCACAGCTACAATTTAGCATTGAGTTTCCGGGCTAATGAAAGTGCATCTAGGCTAGTAAAACAGACCAAAACAAATCCTCGAATTCAAGTCCTGTTGTGTAATGAGGAAGTTTAATTAAGGCCACACATTACAGCTGTAAACGTTCTTTTATATAATAAGGTCTAAATGAAACTGAACCTAATCAAAGTTACAATTCCTTCATTAGCAAATTACAAACAAGAGCGCACAGCTGACACACCGGCTATGATTATCACAACTAATTGCCTCGTTGTTACAAACCAGCCTGGAACCGTGTTCAGATGTCCGTCTGCGGTAGCAAATTAGGGCCACATCATGCTATTCCTGCGATCACAAGGGGCTCTTGTCGCGCGGTCTGATTTACCCCACCGCCCGGCAGCGCGCGGCCCAATCAAAGCCCCCTCTACAAAGGCGCCTTTGAAGCCAGCACAGCCTAGAAACCCGCTCCATATGCAGGCCGGCAGACTGCACTTCATTAGGCCTGTTGTCACATTTTCCCTCTTCTTATTCTAATGATCCTATTTTAATACACATAGGAACCTCTCCTAATTGATGTCAAGTGAGTGACTTCCACATTCATCACCGCAGCACATCAAACGCATCTTGGCACACCGGCTCGCCATCGCAGTGCTTAAGACCTGAGGTGTGTCTCCAACAACAGAAAGCATAAAAAAAAAAAAAAGTATTTCGGCATTACCTGCTTAATTGGGATTGCGCGGCCGCTTCCAATGCTATCTGTTCTGCTCTCCAGGACCTTCTTCTCTTTGTCTGGGTCACTCCCTTTCCGAGACTGCAGAGCAAAAAGAAAGTTTGTGCTCCATTAAATACAGCGGTTCACACAGACAACGCTTTTTTTTTTTTTTTCTTTAAAGCAATTAAAAAAAAGTATTTTTGACACATAAATAGAGACTCAAAGGCTGCAAGTTAGAATCTGCAAAAGTACACAACCATCCCAAAATCTGAATGCTACAATACCGCCTGTAATTTTCAGCCATCCACTCATCTGAAAAGGTGTTTGGGTTTAAAGAGTCACAGTTCCACCGCCTGAAGACCCAGCAGATCAGAGGACACGTTTCTGAAGTCTCCAGTCGTAGCTCCAAAAAGGAACGAAGGTTCCAGCTTCTCATTAAAAAAAAAATCTGATAGATACATGCATACACTTAACTGACATCTGTGTGGTTTTGAGAAATGTTCTCAACTACTTCAAAAAGCAATTTTATGGTGCTGGTTTTGATCACATTGACTTGAACTTTTTATTTTTTTTCTACTTTTGGATGGTTAGAAAGCTGGAATTGCGAGAAAAGGTAGCGATGGATGCTGTAAAAAGTTATCTGAACACAATGAAGAAAAATCAGCATGAGGAAAATTTAACCCATGTTTAAAACCTGAATTGCCTGATCTTGGCTTTGTATAACACTAGAACTGCCCTAGGAGTAAGCTCACAGTGCTCACTTCATGACTTTTCTCAAGTTATATAGGAATTTTAAGAAGTTATTCAGATTCCAGTCGATTATTGTGAAAGAACGCCTGAGCATAATGATTACAACTGATTTATTTTATTACAAAAAGAAGACCCGAGAGTCATCCTCCTTAATAACTGAACTGACAAGTGACAACTTCACTCCATTACTTTTCAATAGGAACATTACTCACACAATATCGAAAATGGGAAAACATTTTCATGTGCTTTTCAAATCGGAGATGATCTATGAAACAAACGCATTTGCCACGTCCAGTACCACAATGGGAAGCTAATGAAAACCAGAGCGACACAAGATCTCGCTTTTCATTTTCAGCGGAAAGAGATGTTTGAAAGACTGAAATTAGGAGAATGACTAGGATCACTGATTGCTAATATCCTTTTTTCATATTTTATGAAATAAAATCCCCAAAGCAGTTGCCTTCGGAGGCGAGAGGAGGAAAAGGGAGGGAGAAAACCCACGGAGGAGGACTGCAAGTAACAGTATTCTAAGCAAGACATTTACCCAGCAGGGATCCTGTGCCGCGTTCCCCGCGCCGCCGGGAGCGGGCTCCTATCACCAGTTACTATGGTTCGGGGCAATGGAATGACGTGGCGGGGAACTAAACAAAGAACAAATGAAAGAAAGCAAAACAAGTGGGAGGGATGAAATCCAATGTTCAGGATAACTATTGTTCCTCGTCCTTCAAGACAGATTTCTGATTCTGAAAGTGCCACTTCCCAATAATACAAAGCAAAACAATGCTTCAATGGTGCAAAGCGCCCGTAAGTGACATCTTAAAGAAACCCAGTGAAGGCAGCCAAATCCTTGGGAGGGAAGTTGTCAACTTGAATGTTTCTTTTTTGACTTTTTTAAAGAAAGGATCCTGCTTCTGAAAAGCAAGCTAAATATCTATGGACTGTTTTTCATTTTTAAATCATCATGTAAAAGTAACTGCATCTGGAAATGTGTGCATCTGCACAGAGAGGGGAAATATCTATATGCAAATATTGTCAAATACCAGAAGTACAGAAGTGTAGGAATTTCCATTAAGCAAATTCTATTCTAGCAGCTTGTAATCACAGACTACATAAAACTTTCAAGAATCTTAGCAGGCTCCGCTATTTATAAAGACAAACTGTGCAGTGAAAGAGAGACATATTCTGATCTTTTATCCTTCTGCACCTATGACACACACAATGTATCTTACATCCTATAGTGTAAAAAAAAAAATACTCTAAACAATACTGGATCAACATTTGCCAGAACTTTTGGTGATGTCACATTTACACACTAAGTTCTCCTATTTAAAACTTCATTCAACCAAACCAGAGGAAGTCCAAAAAAATTTCAAGACCTGCATGAGTATAACTTGACTCATTTCCCCTTTGCACTGGGAGTCATATGCAGACTTCCATCAATGCAAAACCTTACCCAAGTTACATCTGTGAAATAAGATGATTCCAGTCCCTGGGGGACACAGCACCTGAGTCTGGGCACAACCAGAATCCTGTGTGAGCAGCCCAGAGAGCCCAAAAAGTAACACCACTGAGCTCCAATAGTCAATACCGAGAGAGAGAGAGATCATTTTAACTTTTCAAAGTCACGTTTGCCATTCTGCAGAGACCTAAGATAGGTAATACTGACTAAGGGAAAGGGGATGCATCTCACTGTACCAGGAGTTCATGCACCCCAGATGGGCTTGGACCCCTAGTCACCGTCAGTTCTCTGCCGCGGTAGACCTCGTACGCATCTGAAATCCCCACCTGCGCTATGCACTATTGTTGAGTTCTCCCTGTTCATATGCTGCACAAAACAAAGGACATTTAACCTCCTGCCAATAGTCGATCTATTTTATTGCCTGGCTAGAAAAAGTCAGCTATTGCAACAATAGCTTTACAGCCAATATTAATATTCAAAGTCAAAAAGAACAGATATTGAATTTAATGCACTCCAAACATCAACATGCTTAAAATTCTCAACCCTATTCCAACTCAGAAGCTGTAATAGAATTAAAAAAAAAAACCCACATGTATTTTCTACTTAATCCAATTTTACTCCAACACAAAGATCTTCATGTAGGAAATTAGACACATTACCTATGCTAGGTAACAAGGGTCCATTTGCAATTAAACAGAAAAGTATTTGATTCTATAAATGATAACAGCATAAGCAAGTGACAGGCTAGGAAGGAAGCACTGCAAGAAACCCAGAGACAAGCAGTAAAATATTTTGATTACACACTCTGTTCATAACTAGACAGAAAATGCTGGTTATCAACTTATTCAAATTAAATAATTCCAGGTTATAACTTGGCTGATATGGCGTGAAACCAGGGTTATAGCAGTGTTGGCTTTAAGTACTTCAGGACATGCATTACAGGGCAACTCATTACACAACATCCGATATGCCCAGATCTTAAAGACAGAACTAATTCTGAAAAGTCCAATTAGTATTTTTTTTTCCATAGGACTTGTTTTCCCCCAATTTTCCCCCAGTTATTAGACATTGAGACAACACTCAACACCCTCTCATATTAGCAAATTTGGTTCTTACTACGCTATTCTCCCAAACCAGAGCTTTAGTCTGTTTACAGCAAACACAGCTGACAACATCCTTCTCAAACCCTTTTCCATGACCGTAGACGGTATACACTTCTTTCTATTCACTTTTGCAAATTTACACCAACTCCAATTTAACCCCTCCCCCCTGCCCCCCAGCTTCCCAAATGCCAACAGCATCTATCCAGCCCTTGGAGCAGCATTTGAGGCATCCTTCAGACCAGCAAGGGTCAGCACATGCTTTTGCAGGATGCTGTAGAGTCTGGGCTCTATTTCCAGTGGTATTTCTGTGCTGACACTGACACCTAGTGGGGTTAGTAACTCCTGAGTAAACCCCAACAGCAGCGAGTAGTCCCGCCAACAGGAGGAAATCCACACCACTGCTTTAAAATATCAGTGTTGAAACTGGACACGTTTTCACCCGCCGCTCATTTCTGCACATTCTGTTGTTTTGCACCTAGACATTTGCACCTGAACACAGACGCATGATTTTCATTTCTTTGTTGGGAGTTTGAAGATCTTGTTTTAAATCAAAGTATCACCGTCGGGATGGACACAAGGAATAGCTACAGTCACCAAGGGACTTACATGCAAGCCCACAGGGAATCTATGTTTGCTATAAAACATGTTAACAGTGGGGAAAAAACTGCTTACAAATCCACAATTATGCACACAACACAATCCCAAAGCTTTCAGCAGACTGCTGAACTACGGAAATCATCACTCAAGGCTTCATTATCATCTCCCTAACTACTTATGCGTAACAAAGACCTATTATATTGGACCTATCATATTTTCTATTTAATACTTTTTTTCCCCTCCTGATGAAGCAAAAACCAGATGGTTTGGGACAAAAAAAAAAAAAAAAAAAGTCATTCTAATCTCATTCATCTTTTTTAACCCTGGAAAAGTGTGTTGAGACTGTACGGTAATAAAAATACTTTGGGGTACTTATTTTGCAGTAGTGCATGGTATTCCCACGGTAAATCCTGAGACCTCTTTATAAACACGGAAACCTTGGGTCAGCAGTGTTATTTGGTATCAGGGCAAGACTTGGGGACGGAGGCCCAGCCTTCTCTTGCTGCCAAAGCAGACAATCTAGGCAGGTCTGAAAATTACAGTCGGACAAAGGCTCCAGAATTCAACCACAGACTCCTCTGTTCCACTGCAATTCCCAGTAGGATAACTTCACTGCATGTAGCTTATCTGCAAGTCCTCCAACAGAACAGCCCCATGGTAATTCTAAGATGCTTTAGCTTTCAAGCCTACGGATTCATCTCAACACTCCTGGATTAGACCAGCTCAAGTCAAGAGGGTCAGAGCCTAGGCCGTCACCGCAGAGCACGAGGTAAAACACAGCAACAGTCTCCTCCTTGGCTCACTCACCGTGAAGAGGTTGGACCGGCGCTTGGACTGTTTACGGACAGGAGTTGGTGTGTTGGCAGTGGGAGGAACATCAATCCGCAGCTCCTTCTGGCTGGTGCTTGGAGTTGATGGGACAGAGGAGGAATAATCACTTAAACTCCCTCCTCCATTACTGGTCTGCAAGGATTAAAATTAGTTTTAAAGAGTGATACACTGCTTTCAAGAAACTACAATCCACAGTTGTATCTTATTTAGTCCTGACATGTAAGAACAGCAACCTAGGCTCAGGACTGCCCTGCCGCCACTGTTCCACACATTTCTATTCCGAGCCCTCAAATATTTTCCCTGACATTACTTTTTTGAAAACCTAAGGTAGTTCTGTTGATGTGGCAGGCACATTTTCATTCTACGCAACATAACCTTCACTGGATAGAAACAACTTCATTTGTTCTACTAGTGTAAGAGTAAGCAAAACATTGGGGAAAATCTAAATTTTCTTCTTCTACTTCAAAATTGCTAAGCCAAATTCTGCCTCAAACCTAAGAAAAAATATCTAGTGCCAAAGAGCTGCATGGCTGGACTTAATCCTAGTCTGGAGACATCAGTTCACTGAGAGCTAATCAAGAAAATGAAAATAATTCAACGTTGTAAAATGGTGACTACGGTGACAGTTCCCAACACATTTGCTGAAGCCATTGGTACAGAGATAAAAAACTTGAAAGGAAGATGTTCCAATTCATTCGAAGTAGTCAAAACAGTGAATTTACATCATGGTTTTGTAAGAAATAACACAGCCACTCAGCCTCTAAAACAATTAATGAATTGAGGTAACAAGTTACTAATTGCAGGAAGGTAAGGAAGACGGACAGAACAGAAAGGACCAATGTGTGATTAAGAACAAAGTCTTGATTTTTTTTTTTTTTAATTTATTACACAAAACATGAGTACTAGAAACATCAGAAAAAGGACGTGAAAGCAGTCTGTAAAGACAAAAGTACAGATTTTTTCCTATCAGATACAGCTATGCCCTTTGAGGAGATACTGGAGATGCTGATGGGGGCCCAGAGCAGGGCAAAGGTGGACAATTCTGCACGCCATTGACGTCAAGCTCACCAGAAGAGCAGCAAAGGGTGAAGAGTCTGGACAACAACTCGCATGTAACTTATGAGGGGGAAATAAACGTCTGTGATGCACACAAAAGGGTGAAAGAACACCTTCAAAGGGGCCAAGTTTCCTAAAAGAAGTGAGGAAAGAGGGTAAGAGGACATTTCCAACATGCCTGAAGAGAAGGATTCTCCCAGGACATGTAACCCGTTACTTGGTCTCATCTCAATTGCTGTAGGCAGGAATTCACCAGATAAAGCTCAGGAGGAAAAGCACGCACTCCAGTGCCTACTCTTCAGCGCTGCTCCTACACCAGTGACATCTCTTACAGGAGCACGGGGCTGCTGTACGGGGGTAGCACTCCTGGCGAGGCACCAGTGTGACGGGACTGCTCACACTCCTTGGAGGTCAGCAGACGGACCAGGACTTCCAAGTTGCAAGCAGTCAAGATGAAACCTCTTGAAAGAGAGCCAAGCAGGAGACCACCCTTTATATTTCATCCAGCTGAAGCCTCTCTTTAATGATTTCAAGTCCTCTTCTGAGTCTTCCAGCTTTTCCAAATTTACTATTTTTTTTTTTTTTTAAATTCAAGAAGCAAAGGACAAAAAGGAACAGGCATGAGCCACCCAGCTCAAGTTTGGGCTGAAGGGCCAATGAATGCAGATGGAAACCCAGGAAAACCCCTTCCGAAAGTCACTGTTTCTCTGTAAATGACAGCATGTCCCTCATCCCATTCCTATGTGACAGGACAGGAGTGACAGTACAGCAAATGAACTTGTTGATGGAGAAAGTTCTCCCCTTCTTTAAAATATATATCTGTTTATACATATATTTAAAAAAGGACACTGAATTCATCTTGCCTTCATTCTGACCACATTAGTGAAGCATGGCTGTCAGGAAGGCAGAGGTAAGGGTACTGGAAGTACCAGAGGATCTTGAGAGGGTTTTTCTACAACACTTCCAAGTGCCCAGAGGGAAGTAGTGAGCAGAATTTGGAGACGGCCCAAGCGTATGAAACCAAGGAGATGAAAGAACAAGAGCTGAAAGGATTATTTCTAACAGAGAATGGTTAACACCTGAGCCACAAGCAACAACCTGGACAACCAAGGACAACCTGGGAAGAACTGACTTTAATGTACCCCGCATCTTGCCAAGACACCAAGTCCCACACCGAACATGCAGGAGAGCACATAAACCAGAGGAAGACACCCACTGAACCTGTGGAAGTCAGAGATTACCTCTCCAAAGAAACACAGGAAAAAAAGGAATGAAAAAACAACCTGTAACTAGGACACAAAGTAATCGCCAAAAGTTTGCTGAAGTTCAAGCAGGCAGAGACTTGGAAACTGAGTACTCCAAGCACGGGACACGTCAGAGATGAGGAAGGTGGTACTGGAGCCTTAAAATGTGGCTGACAAAAGAAGGTGGAGGAGGAGGACACCTGAATGCTCATCAGCAATCAAACAGCATTAGAGAAGGAGACCAGAGACACTGGTGCCAAGGAATGGCTTTCAGAGGAGAGTGGTGAGGACCCACTGTCCACTCTGCCACGACTGAACCCAACTGGGGTGGGGGAAACGAGGGAAAAGGAAACGTAAGGAAGCAACCATGAATGGGAAAAGGCACTGAACACATTTAAGATTAAAGCCACACAGCTGCAAGGCTTACCTGAGGGGGGGAAAAAAAAAAAAAAAGACAAGAAGCAACGAAGATGGTGGGGGAAAAGAAGAAAAAGCACAACATGGTTATGCCTCAAAACATTTAGAAGCCTCTTCTACAAAAAGGACAGGAAAAAGGCAAGAAGTAAGGATTCAGACATCCTGTACTGATGACAGGATCTGAACCACAAGCTGCTGAAAAGTACGCAGCTATGTTCTGTTTCATGCTATTGATCAACTTCCTAACTATCCAATGCCACCTTTTCTTTTTCAAACTCCATCTGTTTTTTTTGGGGGTTTTTTTGTGGTTTTTTTTTTTTTTTTTTTTTTTAAACTAAAAATAAGAGAATTCTACCCTAAGCGCCTGTTTCCCAGACTGAGCACATAAAGGATTCCCTAAAATTTGACCTTTTTAATCTTTTGTAATTTTATAGCACCACTGCATCATTTTACACTTGTGGCAGTGAGGCACTGTCCTGCGGATTTTTAAGTGATTTATTTTCCAGGAGTAACTCCTAAATGAAAACACATACGTGTTGGGCATTCTAGTCCCCAAAGACAACCGTTCCTACACAAACAGCTCCTATAAAAGAAGTCCTGCAGGCAATACTAACCTTGCTGGATTTCCAACTCTGTAAACACAATTCTGAGGTGGTTTCAAAACAAGCTGTGTCAAATCCACTGGCAGGAAAAAAAAATCCAGTCTATTTAAATAAAAGACTTAAAAGTGGAAAATTTCAAGGCTTCCACAGAATAAAAGCATGGCTACTAGTACTGAACAAGCTCCAACTCCTCCTGAGAGCGTCAATAATTAGTAAACATGTAAAACTGTATGGTTGCTCTGAAACACCTCAATAGGAGAGAATGGGTTTGACAAGAAAGAGGTTGGACATGACTTCCAAGCTACAGCCTGCACAGACAGGAGCAATGCAAAATGCAACCAGACAAGCACCTGGAAAGTGTATTTTTGGTCACGTCAGAACCTAATGCGCTGCTGAAGGAAACAAGAGGTGGGGAGCGTTCCCTGTCAGCTTGTGTGCTTGCACCAAGAAGTCTGGGGACCTTGCCATGGTAAGAGCGCAGAGAGCAGCTTCCTGCCATTGGTATGCAAGCATTTAATACCAAGTGCACTGAAGTGAAGTACAGAATTTAGGACACGGGGCAATAACTGTAATTCACAGAACTGAACGTTTGTCCCAAGTCATAAGAATCAAGTCAGTGAATCCGAAGAACAATCTTCCTTCCAGCACACGGAACCCAACACGGATCAAATACAAGCCCATCTGCTGACCACAGGCAAACTGGTCGAATTTGTGGCACTTAAAACCAACCAAATAAGCACTCCAATACGCCGGGGGGACATTGCACAGTTTAACATTATCCTTTCAATCAAGTCCTTCCACAAAGCTGCTCTCCAGGCTTGGACGTACCCGAGATGTCAGCACAAAGGGCCATTTGGGTGAGCCACGGCTCTAACCAGAGCTGTGGCTATAGGGACAGAGGCCAACTAAATGACTCTAAGTAGGGCGACTATTAGCCCCAGCAGAACCATTTGCACAGGTACATCCCTGTTTGGCTTTTTCAGGGGACAGATTTTCCCATCCCCATTAAGGCCCATTCTCGGGCTCGGCTCCTGGACACACACAGTACAGCCTTGTCTGTTCTTCCTCCAAGGAAGACGCTAAGCCTGATTGTGGTCAATGAACTTCAGCACACCCTTACAGAAAACCCTGGATGTCTTTCATTTCAGGGATATGTTATTCCTAGAACACACCCCGTGTGAATGGCCAATAGTCCATTTACAGAAAGGTGTACCTTCAGTACCTATACAGGCTTCTCGCTTTGTTGCCACAATAGACTGATGCTGTAAAAAACTCAAGGTCACGGTAGCAAGCACAAATCGAGCAGAATACTGTTACTACACTCTTACCAGGCAAGAACAACCCAGATGAAGCTATCAACCTAACAAAACTTGACTGAACAGCTTCGTTCAATGCAGTTACCTGCAAGGCCCATGAAACACTGCCCATGAAAGCGTTAAAGCCTGTAACAAGATTCCCGCTGGCACCTCAGAAAATCCCCATAAACTTTGTACACAGAAAGAGGATTGAATCAAGTCCAATCCCACACTTTCCAAGCTTTCACACATTTCAGGTTTCCTTAGCAAACCAACTGGTGAGCGATTGACCTGGCGTGCCAGGAGCTCAGCAGTGACCTGCATCAAGAAAAGGTTGGACTTACCCTCATATCTGCAACGGGCATGTTCCCGACTGGCCACCTACACAAAGGTGGCAAAATAGTCACCTTACCAAATGAATCATAAAATTTACCTAGTGCAGATGTCAGGTCAAAGCCCTAAATGAGAGCAGAGGAAGAAAACACCTGAAATTTTTCTTCTTGACAAGCAGCCTGATA